ACTGCTTTACACTACAGTGGAAAAAATGCTCAAGAGACAACCTATTGTTGGCTGATCCTACCAATGATCTCTTTGAGTAATCTGGGTCAAATGTGATCACAGTGAATAAACCTCAAATATCAACAACCAAGTGTGCCACATAATCCCCATACATTCCAGAAGACAAAACAAAACAATGGGTACACCTGGAGAGAAACATAATCGAAAATTCCCCCACCACAGCATACCAATTCCAGGACTGTAGCATTCAGGTGCAGCTCTCTATTATCACAATGAAATTATCCAGCTAAACTATCACAGCAGACATGACAGACAGTAACTGTAGAGAAACAGACAGAGATGCCCCAGATGATATGGAAGGTAACAGGTGAGTAATCTATTCTGCCCTGATTCACATGCCTCTACTTCAGTGGGGGGTTTTCCTCACAGTTGGAGGTGACTTCTGGTTTTTAAAACTTTATTAGATGCATTTATACATTATAAAGAGAAACATTTGTACTATTTAGAAAACAGGAGGCATGCAAAATAGTCAACTCAAAACTGAAGAATCAGCATATTTAAAAGGCAGTTACTAATTTACTTATTCTTTCTAGCATAGCTTGCTGAAGGGAGCAAAGGTCCTGGGGTGTCCACTAGAGGATATTTAAATCAAAACATTCAAAGCCTACCTACTGGCTATAAAAACTGAACTGTGCCACAGGGTCATATGAGAACAACCTTTATGCTTACGAAGTCAGTTACATCCAAACTCAAACTGTTTACACAAATGCTGAACATACCATATAAAAATTGTTTTCTGGATTCACAGCTAGCCAGTGTTTTTAAAATGTATGAACATAGAAAAATAGAACATCATAAATTAAGCATCTTCAAATGGTAAAGGGGAAAAAAATGTTTTAAATTGGTCTCCAGATCACCTGAAGAGAAACAGAGTAGGACTACACCCCCCCAAAGCATATATTTATACAAAAAAAAAATTCCTTCCAGTAGCACCTTAAAAAGGTAAAGGTACCCCTGCCCGTACGGGCCAGTCTTGACAGACTCTGGGGGTTGTGCGCCCATCTCACTCAAGAGGCCGGGGGCCAGCGCTGTCCGGAGACACTTCCGGGTCACGTGGCCAGCGTGACAAGCTGCATCTGTGTGCATGCACTCTAAGTTGCTACTGGAAGGATTTTTTTTATTCTCTTTATTTTCTTTTCTTTCGACTACGAAAACTGAGTTGACCAATACCAAGATGAAAGCAACCACATAACCAAAATAATGTGCTTCCTGACACTTCAGTGCAGTAGACAAGCTAGTTTGTACAAATAGCACTCCATACCCCAATAGCCACTTAGCTAGAAGTTAACTGCTGACACATACAGACCCGAAATTTCTATAGTGTCAATGAATTAGTAACTTTAAGATTATGAGCATGTTTAAGATTACAGACTGAATAAGACACCTGTCTCCTGGCAAGAGGAGCAGTCTTTCCCCTTCTATCTTCTGATTTTCCCTTTCCCTCAAAAAAAAATATCTGATCAAAGCCCTCCATGTGTTGTTTAACTCTCATAAGCTCCAGCAAGCATGGCCAATGGGCAGGGCTGATGGGATTTGACATGCAACAACAACCAGAGGACATCAGGATGGGGAATGCTGCCCCATCCTATTCACTTCAATGGGAATTTCATTATTGTTATTGGAGTTGGTAGGGAGAAGCATTTAGGTTACAAGTCCAAGTGCTTGGAAGTGAAATGCAGTCTTCACATAGAAAAAAAGATGACTGCTTGTCAGCTTTGGATCACCCCAAACCCTCATGCATTGAAAATTGCTCAATTATTGCCGCAGTAACCGTGACAGAATCAGGATACAGGAAGTTTAAACAGTTGGCTAGGGCATGTCTGTCAAAGTGAAAAGACAGCTCTTGACACTTGACAGATAGCAAGTTCCTCAGAGGAGATGTATGAGGGGTAGGCAGGAGATGTTATGCCATGGGGGGGGGGAGCTAATTCTATTCCAGGTTGCATCATCAGAAGTATAGTGTCCAGATCCATTCTATGCTGCTTTAGTCAGACCACACTTGGGAGTACTGTGTCCAGTTTTGGGCACCACAATTTAAGAATGATATTGACAAGCTGGGATGTGTGCAGAGGAGGATGATCAAGGGTCTGGAAGCCAAGCCTTACAAGGCACACAACTGAGGGAGCTGGGCATGTTTAGTCAGGTTAAAAGAGGAGATATGATAGACATCTTCAAATATCTCAAGAGCTGACGCATGGAAGACGGAGCAAGCTTCTTTTCTCCTGCTCTGGAGGGTGGGACTTGAACCAACGGATTCAAGATAGGAGAAAGGAGATTCTGACTAAACATATGGAAAAACTTTCTGACAGGAAGAGCTGTTGGGCAGCGGAACAGACTCCCACGAGAGGTGGTGGGCTCTCCTTCCTTGGGGGTTTTTAAGCAGAGGTTGGGTGGCCACCTGTCATGGATGCTTTAGCCGAGATTCCTGCATTGCAGGGGGTCAGACCAGGTGACCCTCGGGGTCCCTTCCAACTCCACGACCCTACTGCTCCTAAGAGACGCGTGAAGCACCACTTACCCACTTGTCTAGGGGCACCTGTGCCAAGGAGCCAGTGCCTTGGTAGAGGTCCAGGGTGAGCTGCTCCAAGCTGAGCTTCTCCTGGAGGAAGTGGCCCAGGTACCTCTGCAGCAGGTACCTGCAGGCCCTCTTCTTGATGGACTCCGAGAAGGGCCAAGGCATAGCGGCTGCGATCCACGGGCTGGCAGGCGAGGGGACGGAGCTGCGGGGTCCGCAGGGAAAGGAGCCACCGGCTGGGCGAAGACGAGGAAGGGGCTGCCCTCCTCCGAAAAGAAAAGGCTGGTTATGAGGGCTGGGAAGAATGAGGGGAGGCCCGGCCCGCGGTGAGCCAGGCTCCTCTCCCCACAATTCCTATTCAGCGCCGTCCAGGAAAGCGGCAAGTCCTGAGGGAATTCCCGCGCGGACGATAACAAGAGCCTCCATCGCCGCCACCGCCTCCTCACGCAGCACTAGCAGCCGCAGCCGCCATCTTGTCAGCGCAACCCCGCCTTCCCGAGTGAGGGAGGGGAGGGGCGGGGCTTACGGCGGCACAACAGCCACGAGGGTCTCTTTGCCTTCTCATTCGCTGCCCTCACAGTCTCCTCCGACTGAGCTCGTCGCGGGGCCCGCTTCTCGCCCCGCCCACTCGAACTCCGCCTCCCTATCAGCGCGCAGATTGGAGCTTGGCTGGTTGTTGTGCTGATTTGGCCCCGCCCACGGAACCGTAACTACGCCGTAACTACGCTCGGCTGGACGTCCCTCCCACGGGAGAGCGTCGTCATCAGTCCCGGCGCTGGGGGGACGGAAACGTTAGGGTGGGCGGGGCGAAGGAGGCGGAAATGACGCAGGTTTCCTCCTCTGAGCGAAATTGGGGAGCCCGCGCGTGGGTCGCCCAACCTTTCTGTATAGAAACGTTTCCGCATTTCATTACATTCTGCTTGTCTCGCTGTGTGGCTTTTTTGTGGTTTGAAATAGATTTTTCAGACTTTTATCATGAAATCATTTGCATAAATAGCAGTAACTTAAATAACGTGCTATCATCATCAATATTTATTTGCCGCCTAACACAAAACCTATCCATTGGGCTTACATGCACAATAAAAAGTAATAAAATACAGTGGTACCTCGGGTTACATACGCTTCAGGTTACATACTCCACTAAGCCAGAAATAGTGCTTCAGGTTAAGAACTTTGCTTCAGGATGAGAACAGAAATAGTGCTCCGGCGGCGCGGCAGCAGCAGGAGGCCCCATTAGCTAAAGTGGTGCTTCAGGTTAAGAACAGTTTCAGGTTAAGTACGGACCTCCGGAACGAATTAAGTACTTAACCCGAGGTACCACTGTACAACACTATCCATCGTCCTTCACATACACACGCAGAAGCACCGGTGTTAATATAATTCCTCAAAAACCCTAAATCTGGTGCTGAAAGGATGCTGCTGTTGGCACCAGGTGAGCTTGGTTGGGGAGAGCATTGGGACGGGGGGAAATCAAAAAGGCCCTCTCGTCATCTCCAAAGAGATGGCGGAAGATTTCAGAAGATGAACACAGGGTCCAGGCAAGTTCAAGTTGGGGGAGCCATGCCATTAGCTCTACATCGGGATCCTCTGCCCTGTGGATCCTGCTGCTTGAGGCAGTCGCCTCAATTTGTCTAATGCGTGGGCCGGGTCCTGCCTGTGTGAAACATGCAAGCAGCAGAACAGCACCTCCCGCCTGAAGTTTCCAGCAACCGGCATCCAGAAGCATCAGCGTATGTTGCAATGAGAAACATTTGTTTATTTGATCTCTGTAAAACAACAACAGTAAACGCGAGGGTTTCCCTACTCGCCCGCCGCCTCCCCCTGCGGCCGTGCGTCCTTCCACCTCGCCCCGCACGCTCAGTCGAGAGCCGGAAGTGTCGATGTCGCTTTCAACCGAGTCTCTCGGCGCTTTTGCCCCGGCGCCTGTCCCGCCGATCGTGGGCGGGGCCTCGGCACGTGACTGGGGAGAGAAAAGGCCACGAGTGGGAGGAGGGAAAAGAGAGCGAGAGGGGCCGGGCGCAAAACAGCTGAGAGAGGGAGGAACAGGGCTGGCTGCTCAGCTTCTCGTCTCGCGAGAACTTAAGGACGGGATAGAGCGGCTCGCGGGTGGCGAAGAGCCGGAGAGTAGGGACGGGATGGAGTAGGGGCAGGTACGTCGTCGGCGTCCGTTGTTTCTCTCTCTTCCGTTTGTTAGACTGGCAGGTGGAGCTGTGTGCGCGCGCCTCGGGTTGTGTGGAAGAAAAGCTTCTGAAAGACTCCCGAGAAAGCGGGAGGGGGGGGCTGGGTGAAGGTTGCCAACTGACCCCCATACCAGCCTGTGCCTGTGCCTGTCAGGCGACCAGCTTACTAAGGCGCAATAATAATAATAATTACCGTAAAACCAGCAGCGGGCGAAGTTCTTCTCCTCGTGGAAGTGAGCACGGTCCCCTTACTTCTGTTTAAAAGAGGCCGGCTGGGAAGTCGGCAGCCCTTCCCCTCTCGGAACCATGGCCTGCTCTTGTTTAACGGGGACGTGCTTCTCTGCATGTCGTGGGATTGCGGCATCCTCACGTGTAGGGAAGGGAAGGAGGGAGGGAAGCAAGCAAGCAAGCAGCGCGTGGGTGTTTTGACAGGGGCGATGAATCCTGGGTCTTGAATTTCTTTTTGGACAGTTCTGTGGGTGGGGGAGTAGGAGCCAACTCCTAAGGGCTGAGGTCCCTTCGGTTCTCCCCCCACCCCCAATAAAATATTTAAAGGGACCGCACTTCCCACCCCAAAGTTGATAGGCATTGCCATTCGAATTGCCACATCTTGTGATCGGTTGTGTGGTGCTTCCCTGTCCCCCCACCCAATATTTTATTTAAGTTGGCACCCCCTGGGTGCGTGGGTGGGTGCTTGCCTGAACCCATGAGAGTTGGCCTTGTTCCTGTGTACGGTCACTTAGGCAACTCATCAGGCATAAACTTGAACAAAATGAACAAAAATAAATCCTGTTTTGAAATGGGGGCGTGCGGGCAGGAGATGTATGTCTTACGGGGTAAAGCTGGAGAGCAGGTGGAATGGATGGTACAAGGAATCTTCATCATCATTTATGCGCCACCCGAATCAGATGTCTGTCTTATCCAACCTAAGAAACGGTATGGCTAACAACATCTATACATATATCTCTGAGGACCTCTCATGGACTGCAAATATTAATATGGTTGTGAGGAAGGTGCAGGGGAGGTTGTATTTCCTGAGAATGCTCAGGAGACTGAATCTATCTCAGCACCTACTTCTGTCCTATTATCACAGTACCATCGAGAGTGTCCTAACCTATAGTATATTATCGTGGTATGGGAGCAGCTCTGAAACGGATAAAAAAGCTTTACAGAGAATAATTAAAATTGCCCAGAATGTTATTGGGCTCCAACTACCAACCCTGGGTGAGATCTTCACGTCTCGCACTTTGAAGAAGTCACACAATATCCTGAGAGATCCCACCCATCCTGCTCACAACTTCTTTGAACTGTTGCCTTCGGGCAGAAGATATAGGACAATGAAAACACGAACCACACGCCTTCTGAATAGTTTCTATCCAGGAGCTCTGATTGCACTAAATAATGATCTCAGGGCCAGTTGCAAGAAATAGCAAGCAGGGAGTAGGAAGGAATGAGATAGGTTTTAGGCTATGTTATGCCTTTAATAGGTTATGTTATATTCTGGATTATGTTATGTTTTTATAGATTATGTCTGAATAGGATGAGAGTGTTGGAGATACGTGCAAATGTGTATGTGAACCCGGTCTTTGGGTGGGTGTTTGATTTTCGTTGTTGTGTATACTGTGTATATACGGACAATGACAATAAATTTATCTATCTATCTAGTGATTTTATTTTGTGAGCGGGGGAGATGTTTCTGACATGCATAGGTGGAAATGCAGACTGATGGTAGAAGATAATTTTGAACAGGAGGAAGAGGCACTGAGTAGAGAGTTGGCAAATCAGCTTTCTCAGAATCAAAACGGATACCAAGCTGTTCCTTTCTTCAAGTAATGTTCCATTATGCTTTCTGGAGTGATGGTGGTTTGTAACTACCAATGCCTGGCAGAGTGACCCTAGCTGAAGAGGAGGGGGGAAAGCAAGGAGAAAGGGTATGGAGTTTAGTGGTACTGTAGAGATGTGTGAAATGGTGTAAGGCAGAAAGGGGAGAATTATAGCATGCATCGATGGTGCTGAGCATGACAGAGTGCAGAACTTCTGGGACTTTTGCTCTCTCATTTTAGGCAAATGGCTAACAGAGATTTGTATTCATCTTCTAAGTTTTAAAAAAGTCGGTTTCTAGACCAAGGTATTGCAGCTTGTCAATATTGTTTGGATCAAAACCTTTTTCCTGCTGACATTGCTATACATTATATTTATTACGTGAAAGGCATTCCAGAGGCAGAGGGTGATGATAATATTATTCTAACTTCTTAAGGTGCATATTGAAAGCACATATTTTTTTATATAAAGAAAGCTAAATTGGCCTTTAAGAAGTACTAAGCATTATGCATTTGTATTAACTACTGTAATGCAGGCTGCAGGGGGCTGTAGCTAGTGCAGAATGCACCTGCTAGGCTGGTAAGTGGGGCAGCTCAATGGGACCATGTGTCACCGGTCCTGAAAGCTCTGCACTGGTCAAATTCAAGATGTTAGTACTAGCATCTAAAGCTCCTAATGGCTTGGAATCCAAGTATCTAAAAGAGCACCATCCTCATTATCAATAATCTTGCATTCTGTGATCTGCAAGTGATGCCTCCGCCACTGGGTATCAGTTGTGATAGGCCTTTTCAGTGTTGGATCCTCTTCATCATAGCAAGATGCTTCTTTCTCCCCCATTACTCTGACTTTCAGGGAAAAAATTAAAAACATTTCAGTTTGCCCAGGCATTTGATGGCTGAAAGACACTATTCTGGCAACCCTTAGATCACTGGTTGAGAATGCTTTTAAACCGTTTTTAGGTTTTTTAAAGTTTTTTTATCATTGCTGTGTCTGCTGTCCTGGACTATTTCTGGAGGAACAGCAGAATACAAATTGAATAAATGAATAAAATAAATTTCACTTTTCTGTTACCTAGCCCATTTTAATGATTGCTTGGGTTAATCCACATCTTATTAACACAAATCTACATGGGTGGGATTTACACACATAATTTTCGTGGTGTCACTAGTATCAGCAGCTGAGTGTGTCATTTACCAGAAACAGATAAGTTTTCAGTGTTTGCGTTTCTGCTATGGCACTCCCTCCCCAATGAGATCCAATAGGTCCCCAAATGAAGCATTTAAAATGATGTCTGAAAAGTTTTCTTTTCCCACTAGGACTTCTCGACTATGGAGTTTGCTGGTTTTAATTATATTAACTTGAAGAATTATATTGCAATTTGGTATTTTGTTACAAACTACTTTGCAGCCCTTCGGTTAAAGAAGAAAAACAGAGTATAAGTAAAATGACAGCTGCATGAAATGCAGTGTTAGCCATTTGTACTTCTTAGGCCTGATAATTGATTTGGATTATTAACACTGTATTTAAAGAACCCATGTTTTTGAGGGCTCTGTGTACTGATCTTCCAGATATATCTTGGAATTCCAGAATCCCATTGTCATTGCTGTATTGTAGAATCTTTTACCTTGCATTTTTTTAAAAAGCCTGATATGCAGAAGTTTCAGTGCCTTCACTTGGTAATGGTGGGGGTTTGTATTTTTATTTTTTTGCATTGATATACTACATTAGTGGGTTGCTATTCATAACAATTGATTGATGATTAAAACACAACAAACTTAAACTCCCAGTGTGTATGAGCATTTGTCTTGCTGAGCATAGTTCTGAATATATTTTGATTTTAAAAATTGTGTTGTGTGTGCAGAATGGAGATGGACTGCAATCCCATGGACCTATCCAATAACACAGGGGTTGAAGACAATTCTGAATTCAAGGATTTTGAAGGAACAGACGTGAAGGACATGAGATTAGAAGCGGAAGCTGTTGTGAATGATGTGTTGTTTGCTGTGAGCAACATGTTTGTCTCTAAAAGCCTCCCATGCGCAGAAGATGTGGCGTACATCAACGTGGAAACTAGGGAAAGGAACAGATATTGCCTAGAGCTCACAGAAGCGGGACTTAGGGTAATTCTTCCTTTTGTGAAGATTAGTTATAAAAGTAATGTTAGCCAAAGGCTATTTAGTAATCTACTTTATCACAAAAGCAGCCCTCTTCAATTTTTATTTTTTGTACCGAGTGTTTCAGAATGTTTATTTTTATATGGAAGATGCTAACAAACCTACTATAACAACAACAACAATTAATTACTTGCCCATCTGACTGGGTTTCCCCAGCTACTCTGGGCATCTTCCAACAGAATGTAAAGAACACACAGTGCTATTTCTAATTAAGAGAAAAGATGTTTGGAGTTACCAGTTTTGACCCTCTAGTCTTCTGCAATAGGGTTTCTATACAGTTTCTTTTTTAAACTTTGCAGGGATCCTGACTGGCAGAAATGCATCAGATAAGGTGTTCCATGTCACTTGGTTCATGGTAGGAAGGCCCTAAATCTTGAATTTCTGATTACTAGGCAGCTTTTTTGTCCCAGATGCCTTTTCACTAAAAGGTGCTATCTATCGTTTGCCTAAATAAAACTTCCGTTTTCTTTTCATGATTAATGTATTGAAAAATTCTGCATTTAATACTTTACTTCACCCTTTAATTATGGATAACAGTCTTTCAACATATAATTATACTGGAAGGGAAAATATTAGCAGATGCAGCTTGTGATGTCATGGTTCTGCAAGGAGCATGGGCATCTGCATCTGCCAGAATACTTTTAAATGTACATGAACTTCCATGTTGAAAGCTATCCATCCATGAATTAAAGCAGGGGTGGTGAACTTGTGGCCCTGCAGATGTTGGTCTTCCAACACCATCAGGCCCTGACAACATAGCCAAAGACTGTACTCCAGCAGCATCTAGAGGACCACAGGAGGTAACCATCCTTGATTAAAGAAATGAAGTCTTCCTTCTCTGGTGATCCACAGCTTTAAACCATTGCAAACAATGCAAACCAATGCATAATGATCACCCGTGAAAGAAAACACATATTTTCCACACATATCCACCACTGTAGACAGCTTTTTCTCCATGAAGGTTTTTATTAGGAATACAACTGAAGTCTTGTCCCTGCCTGTTTGTGTACAGTAAGTATTAACTGTGAACTGCACGAATTGAACTTGCAGTCATAATACAAGTCTTTTTCCAACTAATCGCTCTGTAGTACTATAATCATATACAATTAGTGTGCATCTCAACTGTCATGGTTACTCTAGCTGAAATAACACACATGGAGTTCTTGTTCCTTTTTGACTCAGTTTCCCCCCCAATATTAATATCAAAATAGGGCTGGGAGATGTCAGCTTTTCAACATTGCAATGGATCACCAGCCGAACATCACGGTTAAGTGATACATTGTGATGTTGAAACGGAGGATGGAACAAGCTGTAAGGCGCTAGGGTGAAAACACTGCCACTCCTGCCAAGAAATGTGAGGCAGTTTCACCCCACGGGGCCAGGACCAAGATAGCTTGTTCCTTCTACCAAGCACTGGGGAGTCCCTTCGCCCCCAGTGCCCAGTGGAGGGATTCAGGAGTGGTGGTGGGTTTACTTGTGATATTTCTGTGAAAAGCCACCATCACGCTCTGGCCCTCATACTGGTCCTGGGCAATATATCAGTATTACTACACCAGTTTTACTAGACAAGTTTTACTCGATAACTTTCAGGTATAATGTATTCAGTACCATTTGTAAATAGTTCTTGAGATTGTATGATCTTGATAAACTTTGCAAGCCCCATAAAAGGGCGACTCACTAGAACAGTTTTTCGCATAACAGCTGGTTTGGTTTCTTTATCAACCTTTTTGTTTGTGTGTGTGCACTTGGTCACTTAATTTCTTAAGTATGTTATTTTCTCTTTTTGCAGGTGGTTGGCTATGCTTTTGACCAGGTGGATGACAGCGTACAAAATCCCTATCACGAAACTGTCTACTCTCTGTTGGACTCTGTTAGCCCAGCGTATAGAGAAGCATTTGGAAATGCTTTGCTACAAAGACTAGAGGCTTTGAAAAGTGATGGGCAGTCGTGATTGAATTTGCAATCGAAGTGGGCTTCAACAAAAGTTGCTGCTGGATCTAAATAGTTTGTTCTGAGGCCTGATGGCAGAGGGGGGAAATTATTCACCTGAACTCTTTGCTTTCAAAAAAATCCCTTGTTCCATGACTTGCAGTGACACCAACTTGTAAACTATGTCCTTGATACTGTTGTTCGGAGTTAGTTACCCAATTTATTTTTAAGGTAACATAGTCACATATATAGTTACTGTTCTTTGTTAAACTTTCCTTTAGATAGTTACAATGTAACACAGTATAGTTTTGGTCTCTGATAGTTAACTTTAAAATTCTTCTAACAACTTTTGTATTTGTTCAGTAGTGTGCTTCACAAATAACTTGGATTTAAGAAAACCAAATATTTGCCATAGCTAATTTAATGAAATGGGTTTTGTTTCATTGAAAAGTTTTGTATTTAGCTCAACTTCTTGTATGTGGATTTAGACATTATCTGGCTCATTCATTAGAGTGGTAAGACGAAACATTAAATAAAGCATCTCTTAGGATATGATCCACTAAAACGTTAGGCCAGTACTTTTCAGTAACCGAACAACAGTGTGCAGTATTTGGTGTAGTCTTGAGGGTAGCAAGCAGCAATGCTAAACAATAGATATATTGTTGGCATAATGAATGTATTCATCAGCTGAAATACAAATGGGATAAGCACAGTAATGAAAAAATAAAAAGCCACATTCTGCATAAAGCCCAATCCTTCATTGCTTTTGTTAAACTATTAATACTGTGTAAAGAGCACTATTCGCATTGCTTTGAATGTTTACATAATGTACAGTATATCTAAAAGTATTTTTTGAATCTTTATTTACTATATTACATGAGTATTTCTGCAAAGCCCCAACTATGCTGTAACTTACAATGGTTCATTGTATTGATTCAAAACCAAAGAAGGAAATTGGTATTTGAATTGGGAGAAGAATAGGTGGTCTTAAGTACAATACTAGTTACCTTCCAGTGCTGTAATCTCAGTATATTTTCTTGGGATAAAGGTGGTTTAAAAAAACAACCACCACCCACAAAGCTAGAGTAATTGTGCATTGTGATAGATAATACTAACAGATGTTTTAATTCTCAAAGTGAGTGAATTTACACAATCGTCAGCTCCTTGATGGATGTAAATTTATATTTTGCAAACCTGGTTCAACATGAGTGATGCTGTTAAACCTTGCTGAGAACCTGCTCTAGGAACTGAAGGAGTACCAGCTTAGTTGAAGCATTTATTACAGCTTTGTCTTATTTCAGCTAATTATAGGATAACTAAGAATCTATAGTAAAACCTGTTACGAAACATTGACTGTTTCTTACTGTTTTAAACGCTGAAATGTCTTGCTTTATCCATATATAGAAAATTAGACTAAAATGTGCATTTCATTTTCTAAGAAAACTGGGTACATGTGCACTTACAATCTGGATTTATAGCATGGAAGTTAAGAAAACGAGGAAAATACATGAAGAAAATGTGCTCTGTCCATTTCCTTGTTCCTTGAATAAGGCAGCCGTGTTTATTTTAGCAGTTATACGCTTGAAATAAAAGAAGCAAAGTGGTCTGCATAATGAGTTTGCTTTTTAAAATAAAGAATAAAACAAAACAATGTACAGAGGGGTTTTTGGGTTTCTGCACTAAACTCGCAGATTTTGCTGACTTAACTAAAACCTAAAGCAGCGTTATAGATAAATGGCTTGCAGCATTTATCTCTTGGGGAGGGGGAGAAAAAAAGTCAACGCGCAATCTCTTTGTTTTCACGTTATTCCATTGGCCGCGCCCCCTCTCCTCGAGGAGGAAGCCACGCCCAGATTCCTCCCGCCCTCCTGTTCGTCTCCTGCGTTCTGTTTTCTCCCCAAGGCCCCGCCTCTTCCTCCTCCTCCTTCCTCTCCCGGCGCGCGCGCCCTGGTTGCCTAGCAACCCCTGCGCTTCCTTCTCAACCACAGCCATGTCGGAGGAAGAGGAGGCGGTGGCGGAGGCGGAGGAGATTATTCGGAGCCAGAGGATCTTCCTGAACCACTTGGACACCTACGGAGGCAGCAACATGGGGAGGGTGAGGGCCGGAGGCGGATGGTCGCGGAGCGTCGGTGGGTTGACGCGGCCCGGTAGCCAGGGCCGCCTCGCCCAGGAGGCAAGCTGAGGCAACCGCTTCGGGCGTGCAGGACCCACAGGGGTAGCAGGTTCTCAGCCGTTCCTGATGTAGCTCTTTATTCCCCACCCTCTTTCCCTCATATATATCTTCACTCACCCCTTTTCTTAATGTTTTAATGTTTTATTTTAATCTTGTTTTTTAAATTGTATTTTTTCCCCCAAAAAAGTTTTTTATTGGTTTTCACAACATTATAAACAAACACATAAGACAAACAAACATAAATCATAGCCTTATTGAAAATTACACTTATTAACATTGTTAAGTGACTCCCTCGCTCCCCCTTGGTTGAATTTCATTGCATATCCTTTTAACGGTTTTCCAAATCACAGTTCTTATAAAATTTAACTTAAGTATTAACAACCTTAGATCTTCACATTATAAAATTAAACATATTAATTCATCACTTAACATAAATAAAATCCTAAGCCAGTTAAGTATCTGCAAGCTGTTTTTAGTTAATTTAACTTAACATATTTAAGTAATCATTAAATTTAATCCACTCTTCCTGATACTCCTCCTCCTTCTGGTTAGGTCGGCTAGCTCCGAAAAATCCATCATCTTCATCTGCCATTCTTCTATCGTGTTTTTTAAAATGTATTTTAATCAAGTTGGCTGGGGAGGGCGGGGTATAAATAATTTATTATTATTATTATTATTATTATTCCCTGGAATGGCACCCTTTTGTGGTTTGCCTCTGGTGTCAAAATCTCTGGGGGCCAGCCCTGCCAGTGGCCCACCTGGTCCATCATCCTGTTCTCGCAGTGGCCAACATAGGTGCCAACTCCCTGGGTGAATGAGCATCCATGAAATTTCTGGGGCCAGGCACCCCCACATTTTGGTGCTTGCACGCCGCATGCACCCACAGCCCCCGGGGCACCGGCAGTTGTGGGGCCAAGTTGGCCAACCAGACGGAAGCAGGAGTGTTCTCGCCACCTGTGGTTTCCAGCAGCTGGTATTCATTCAGAGGCATTGGGGATTGTACTCCCAGCTACACTGCGGGGTGGGAAAGGTTGAGAAGGGCTGATCTGATGTGTGAAGAAACTACTTTTTATCTTTTAATACTTCCTCCCCTCCACACACTCAAAAAGTACCCGTGTGTGTTTTCCAACTGCTTTGGGGGAGGTAAGAAAAAGTGAACGTGAGGTGTTACGCCTGGCCGTTTAAAATAAAACGCAACACACGTGAAACATGTTGGTTCGTAAAAGAAAGGGGGTGGACAGATCCCAAAGCCCACAGCTGGAGAACATGAAACTGTGTGCAAGTTGGCGGTTCGAATCCGCACAATGGGGTGAGCTTCTGTTGCTCTGTCCCAGCTTCTGCCTACCTAGCAGTTCGAAAGTACGCCAGTGGAAGTAGATAAATAGGTATTGCTGTGGCGGGAAGGTAAACAGTGTTTCCGTGCGCTCTGATTTCTGTCACAGTGTTTTGTTGTGCCAGAAGCAGTTTAGTCATGGTGGCCACATGATCTGGAAAGCTGTCTGTGGACAAATGCTGGCTCCCTCAGCCTGAATGCGAGATGAGTGCCACAACCCCTTAGTTGCCTTTGACTGGATTTAACCGTCCAAGGGTCCTTTACCTTTTAGTCTTGTTAATGAAAATATTGTCCAGCTGTGGATGTTGGAGTTTCAAAATAAAATGTCTACCCTCAGATGACTTTAAAGGTTATTTAAAATATATACATTTATTACATTTCTATCCCAGCCTTCATTCTTCTACGGAGCTTCTAGCAACTTTCATGATTCTTCTCCCTTCCCTAATTTTGCCCTCACAGCCATCTTATGAGGAAGGTTGGACAGAGGTATAAATAATGGTTTATTGTTTCCAGAATGTGTCACAATATGCTTTGGGTTTGTCTGCTCCCATTTCCCCCTGCTTCATATGCATGGTAAGGAAACTGAAGCTCTGATCATCATTTAACAAGCTAAACTTTGATTTGCAGTGTATTTGGACACAGCAAAAAGGATTCAGGTTCTCTCATTTTACACATGAAGGGGGAGTGGACAAGCCCATAGCTCACGGCAGCATGTTGTCATAGCAACACACCATGGTATGTTGTTATGTCCAAATGAGCACAATTATGAAACAGAAAACTGATTACCATATCACTATGAATGGAATTCTCTCACACTATCCCACTGGTCATTTCTTGTATACTTCAAGTATCTAGCGAGCTGTACTGTTGGAGCCTCTCTGGAAGAAGTAGCAGAGGAAGAGGAAGAAGAAGATGAAGGTAGATCAGCTGTTGAAATTTCACCTCTGAAACCAAAGGAAGGAATATACCAAGTAGTGGGAACTCTTTCACAGGAGACTAGTACAAAACCAGATTTTGCTGTGGAAGCATATGGAGTGAGTATTACACTTCTTTAATTTACTAAAATACTTGGGGATATAGGTGGTCACCTTTATTAAAGGGCAGGAAAAGAAATCAATAAATCAAAAGAAGGTAGTATAATGTATAGCCACATAAACATTTGATAACTCTAATTCTGTAAAACCTAAAAGCTACAGTCTACAGTAGCTAAAGTTTGTCAGGGCTAACCAATGAGACTTAAGGAAGTCATCATGACTGAGAGCCTGGCTTTGACATTTGCCATGTGAGAACAGCCTGAGTCTACCTTTTGAGAATTCCGAACATGGTTAAGCCAGCAGTCAGAACACTAGAGTGGATCACAATCTCTCACACTGTAAAAGAAGAACCTTCAGCCACCTCATCTATATCCATTGCTTCACCCTGCTTATCTCTCCCTCTTTATTCACTGCTTAAGTTTACCCAGTCAGTGCAATATCCAAGTGCCAGCAGTCAGGGAAGTTAGATGGGATGAAATGGCAATGGAGATAAAAGCCACAATGAGCTAATAAGAAATTGATTTTTTGACGGAATATATATGCTGGAGGGAATAAAAGCAGGCCCTATCTAATTATACTGTAAGGTCCCTTCAGGATCCTCCTGGAGTGAAAGGTAGTTATAAACCAACCCAGCAGTTCAAAAGCATGCCAGTACAAGTAGATAAATAGGTATTGCTGCAGTGGGAAGGTAAATGGCGTTTCCGTCCACTCTGGTTTCCATCATGATGTTCCATTGTGCCAGAAGTGATTTAATCTGTGGACAAACGCCAGCTTCCTTGGCCTGAAGCAAGATGAGTGCTGCACGCCATAGTCACCTTTGACTGGACTTAACTGTCCAGGTAGGGGTCCTTTACCTTTACCTTTTTATAAATCAAATAAACAAAAATCCCCATCACCCAACCCCAGCTTCCACTCTTTTAAAATTGTTAGAGGATAAAAAAAATAGAGGATTTTCTTCTTCTTTAAAAACGAAGGATTGATTGCTAAAAGTTATTACTAAATAGAGGGAAATAATTCCTCCTTATAGCTTTTGTTTGTTTTTAGACATCTTCTCGAGAAGAGCTGCTAGCTCGCCTGTTAGAGTGTGACATTATTATTTATAACATCACTGAAGATGTAAAACAGATTGAGGAAGCAGTCTGGGCAGCTACTGGTTAGTACAATTTGTTCTTTATCTGAAATGGGCATGACACATTCATCAACTTTGGGAAGTGAAGCAGTAGATCTAGTGTGATTCAGCAGACTGAGACCTCAAATTGGCACTACCTGAGCTCAAATCCCTCAGCCTTGGACTTACCTGGTGGTATTGGGGGAATTCAGTTT